TATTTGGATCCTTGGACCCTTATGGTAAGTGGGAAGCCGCAAGACCCTGAACTCCCATTGATTCTTCTGTCTCTCGAGGGTGCCTGAGCACGCGCGTTTTTGAAACACTTCTGGAAACGCTCAATCAGGCCCTAAAAGCCTGTGATTGATTCCAGATCCTTTTCATGTATCCATTTTTTTGCAGAAAGTCGAGAAGAGTCCTGCCATACGTGCTGCTTCTGCGTCGGCTCCTCCCTGACCAAGCAAGCCGACCGAATCCAGTGCTTGACCGGTAAGCCTGCGTTGCTATCTGCATTGTCTCGAAGTAGTCTCAAAGTAAGGGAAGCACTTTGAAGGGGTTCTTGGCGCATGTAGGGCTTGAGGGTTATGGTTTTATCATAAGGTTTCGCAAAAGTAACGGACCCTTGCAAAAATATAAAGGGTCGGAATCAAGCCCATGCACCTAAACTCCAAGCCCCAGACCCTCAGCTTAACCACGGGGCCCTTTGGATACAGTGCCGCAGTATGTGCGGAATATTGCGAGACTATTGATGACCCCCCAATTCAGAAGAAAATACAACCCCTATGCCCCTGAACTCAGTTTAGGATGTAGGGTTTAGGTTTTACAACCATTTCCAAGTTGATCCGAAGGACAAGCTGATGAGGGCTGTGGGTCCGACCTGCAGCTGGCGCAGTGTGCCTAACATCGCATAGAGCACCTGAGCCAGAGTTTAGGGTTTAGGGCTTGCAGTGTTGGTGCCAGTGTTCTGGTGTTTGGATGACAAATGTAGGGTTTACCTTGAATGACCTAAACCCGGCGAGAAAGGGGAAACGATACCAAACAATTAGGTACAATAACCCATTTTATGAGTACATTGGTTACTCTGGGTAGGCGACGGCCGAAATCTGCAAAGTGATGAGGATGGTTGCCAGTTTCCATTTCACTTTACGTTGGAGTAATATCCCTAAACCCAAAACAGTAGACTCCATTTTCGTTGTGGCTATCGCTATACAGTTTGTGGTGATATCCCTAAAACCCTAAACAGTAGTTTCCATGTTCTTTTGCACTATCCCGGTATCATCGCTGCATAACCACGGGATGAGGAAAACTTGCTGACATCCCCCAAACCCTGAACCCTAAACCCTGAGTCCTGAAGCCTTAACCCTAAACCCTGAACCCTAAACCCTGAATCCTGAACCCTAAGCCCTGAATCCTGAAGCCTAAGCCGTGAACCCTGAACCCTAAACCCTGAACCCTAAACCCTAAACCCTGAACCCTAAACCCTAAACCTTGAACCCTAAACCCTACTTCTGACATCCCAAGGCACCAAAGGAGCAAAGGACGAGTAGAGACCAGCCCGGACCTTCGTTGTAGGAACGGGCTCTATAACAGGTTGTGTAGAGCCCTAAGGGTCCAAGGACCCAAAGAATGAGGTATTTGGGCCCTAAAGCCCTGTTATTTGGGTCCTTGGACCCTTAGGGGAGTTTATAGGGGGGTATACAGGGGTATCGACCTCCCAAGTAAGCAACATAATATGGATGAAAAGCTTGGCAACTCTCAAGCCTCTTTTTAGCCCATAATGGTTTAGGTTTCAGGGTTTAGGTTTTAGGGTTTAGGGCTTAGAGTTTAGGGCTTAAAGATACGCCCTATAGGAGTCTTCCCAGTATATCCCCTTAACAATTCGCAAACCCTAAACATCAAATTTCGGCAGCGCAAAACGATAAAGCTTGGATACTGCCCCCACTCAGTAACAGTTGGATAATATCTACATTATTTGACTATTTAGAAGTTAATATCACGCCTAGTATAGACAGTTACAGGGTGGGGGCAGTACCCAACCCAAATCCTAAGCCCCAAACCCTAAACTTCCTAAACCGCTGAGGGCCTAAAACCCGCGACTTGCCTAAGACCTAAAACCCCCCTCAGAACCCTAACGTCTAAATATTCGCCGAGGCTATCCAGCCTCAGGGGCATTCAGAGTCTACAAACCCCCGCCTACCCCTGTTCGCTCGTGGCGATCCCCGCCCCTCCCATGGTGGGTGGCCTAGTCCAGCGCAAAATTCTAGCTTCGCCAGGAAACATTTTTCGTCCAAGCTTCATCCTCCCCCCGCCCTCCCCCCCCACTCCCCCTCCCCCCCCCTCCCTCCCTCTTCTTCAGGGTACGCATGGCTGGCAAACTCCTTCACAAAAGGCAGATGGACGAATCCCAGCCAACCCCCTCCATGAATGCTGCAACATGCATGCAACAAACAGTTCGAAGTGAGGCTTGCCTCCATTACTCCCTCGACCCTAAACCCCACGTGTCACCTATATGCCATGACCTATTCGTGTGCTCCGCGCCCCGCCAGCCGAGGCAGGCGCGCGATAGCGTTTATAAATAAACTCTACATATCCCGATCTTCCTTACAGAACCTCGCTAAGCCGAGATAACACGCCGTTTGAGCGGAGCAGGTTGGTACAGAAAAACCCCGCCAGGAAGTGCCCTGAACACTAAAACCCTAAGCCTGAGCCCTAATTTCCTCAACCCCCGAGCCCTACCCCAAACCCTGACCTTAAACCTCTCAACCCCTCAGCCCTAGATCCTAAACCCGTAAACCTTAAACCCTACATCCCTAAGCCGTGTGACTGGTAGACCGGCCAGCAATGCAAATGCCAAGCACTGTGGGACCAGCATCAAGCCTACTCCGAGGTTCACGGGAAGGAGACTCCCTGGAAGGGGTATAATGATATGGGGGGGGGGGGTCTTTGGGGAAATATACGGATACGTTTAATAGATATACATACACATACAAACACATATACGTAGGAGGATACTGTATATGGTGCTTGGGGGTCTAGCGCCGGAGCTTCATGGGAAATAGCAACTACTCGGTGAACTACTTATGGCTGGGTTATGACTATGACCCTATCTGTCATTGGTAGGTGAATACTCCTAGTTAGACACGCTTGCTAAGATTACTATGCCATAATATACCGTACTATACCATAATACACCATAGTATACTATAATATAATATACTATACTAGAATATATTATACCAAGTGTCATGAACCATCTTTCAGGTACTTTTCGGGGGGCTGAGGGATCCCTTGAGGTCTCAAAATCGGTTCGGTTCCTTTTTTTGTTTGTCTCCGGTGGTTGGGTGAAGGAACTCAGTTTCTAAGGGCCTGTGGGGGTTTATATTTAAAGCCCTTGAGTTTAGGTTGGGTAGTGCCCCCACCCTGTCACAGTCTTCATTAGAGGTCATATTAAGGGCCCAAAGCCTCAAACCCTAAATCCTAACACCTAAACCCTGAACGTTTTACAGCATCCAACTCTTACAGAGTGGGTGCAGTACCCAAATTTTAGGTTCTGAGGGTGTAGATGTTCAGGGTCTAGGTTCCGTGGGGTTGAGGGTTTTAGGATTTTAGGGTTTTAGGGTTTAAGGTTTAGGGTTTAGGGTTCAGAGTGTAGGATTTAGGGTTGGGGACAGAAGATGCCAAAGATCTTGGGTTTCGCTGTGTACCTGGACCTGAATGTCGTACCTTTTTGGAGATATACCCTACGAATATGCAGGACAGAACCCCAAGAATGAAAGCTCACCCAGGGTCACTGTAGGTGTAGGGTTGGGGATGTGGGGTTTAAGTTTTGAAGTTTGAAGATTTTGGCCTGGGTGCCTAGATTAAGGAAATCTGGTTCATTGCTGCGTGTTGTAGAGTTTTGACGCACTAGCGGCAGTATTCTGTGGGTTCTAATGACCGAGATTTGGTTTTTCGGGCAGCTGATATCAAGCCCAGACACTAAGAGGAGAAAGCACAAAAGACGTTTTCCGTTGCTAGTCAACTTTCTCTATCCCTAAGGGTCCAAGTACCTAATAATCATATACTTACCCAAAACCTGTACTATAATCCCTATTACCCAAATCCCAAGTACCTAATTATTGGGAACATGGACCCTCTGGGTATGATGAGGTTTTGAGATGAGGGATTGAAAGTCCAAGGACTTTAGCCACAAGTGCTCGGACACCCGTATTGTCATCCCCTGAACATGCAGCCTCCCCATATCATGCAAAAGCCGGGCTCAGAGTTTAGTGCATATATGGGCTACAGACTGAAGGCTTGGCAGTTAAGAGTCTAGGGGTTAACGACTTCCGTTTCCAAGTTACCTTGGCGTCCCTATACACGAAGTATGTACCCCACGGGGGATACCTCTGGAGTTCCTCCAGCATGCTAAGGGCTCATACTAGGGCCCAATGGTTCGAAGCTGAGATTTCAAGAGCTTTGGCTGAATTACAGCTAAACGTCCAAAACACTTGAGTAGCGGTTTTTTGGTGATGAAGCCCAGTAAGATTATACTCCTTATATAAGATATAATACCCCAAAAGCAGGATATAATCTTACTCTATATCGGGCACCATAGTATCCCCAATAAAATACTACTCACTTGGAGCATGATCCAGAATTTCAGCTGGGCTTCCAAGACCTCTTTCAGCAAACGTCTGCATACCCTGGGTAGGTATATCACGCAACATTGTGTTATCTGTAGTAAGAGCTGCAGAGACTATAGCACATTACCTGGCTATCACTTGGGCTTTCCATAACCTACTGCATACCCAGGCACTCCCTGACAGGATCGCGAGGAAGGACCCCCCCCTACCTAGTTAGCTTCCAATACCAAATTTTCCTTTTTTTCGCAACACCTAAACTAGGTATGGTTACACGCTTCCCCCTAATTGCTCGGTATTTGGGCACTAGGCCCTCCATGTCCCTATCTACGTATATCCCTCTACACCCCCCAGAGACCCCTTTAAACTTTGAAGCTGCTCGATGATTGGGTACTTGGACCTTGTATCGCCCCGGGGATCCAAGTCGAAAAGTGATGCCCGCATGTAAACCGAGCGCTAGTTTGGGTGTTCCTCAGTGAATCCCAATCTAAACCCTAAGGCCCCTTTGGGGCCTACCGTGAGCCCAGCGATGAGGTCACCCTTCAGCGAGTAGGGCCTTGTATTCTACATGTTTACCTTGCAGTTCATGCGACATAGTATAGGGTTCCTTTGAAAAGGGCTCCCGTTTCGGGATTTGTGAATGGCAACATGGCTCCCCCTGCTAGCAACGAACTAGGCTAACTAGGCATCTTCCAAAGGGCAGCGTTCTTTCCAGGGTCCTCTGCGGGGGTTTCCCATGACTTGGAGATCCCGAAAATTTAGAGCCTGCCAGGTGCCCAAGTATGCCACAGATTACGAGATGAAATCAAGGTCTGCGCTGAGACCCAAATTTTAAAACCCTATGCCCCTTCAACTCTTACCACCCTCAACTCTGTCCACCCTGCAAATGTGAATCCTTTCCACCTCTGAACCCTAAGAAGCCTATATATCCCGGAGGCAACCTATGTCAGGCCTAGCCAGCCTTACACGATTCAAACAAATCTATCCCTAAGGGTCCAAGGACCCAAATAAGAGGGTTTTAGGGCCCAAATACCTTCAATATTATGGTATTTGGGCCCTAAAACCCTATTATTTGAGTCCTTGGACCCTTAGGGGATCTAACACAAAGGCCTGGCTACTCGGTCAGAAATTGCCCTGGAACCTAAGAGTTGAAAACCCGTTCATGACCCCATAGCTGCTTGGCAAGAACACCTTGAGCTTACAAACCCAAAGGGTCCACATAGCCATATAGTATATATACTCAGGGCCCCAAAGGGTGTGCACGCAACTACTTTGGGGCCCAAGCGTATACTATATAGCTACATCGACGCTTTACTCCTAAACCCTAGACCTTAAAACGCTCAACCCTACAACCTACAACCCTAAAACTGGAAACCTCAACCCTAAACACATCCAGCGGCAGCTCGCCCACGGCTTCCTGGTCGGACTGCGTAGGATTCCCCGCCAAGGCGCGAACATAACCTTGATAAATCTTCTCATTCGGGGCCAAAGCTGGAGACTAGTGGCTCTTGGCCAAGATTCTCACATTTTTGAGGGATGCTTTGGGTATTCATAGTATTTCAACATCCGTTTCAGCCTTCAAACAACCATACAACAACTCCATTTCCCAACGTGCTGAAGCCTGAGCAGCGTGCTCCTGAAAACTGCATAAACCAACAGCGTACGCAAGTACCACAGAGTGACGTGGCAGCCACTTAAGAGGAGGTAGCAGCGAGGAAGGTTTGAAGCTCTCGCCGGAATACACCTTGCGCCAGGTTGGAGGAAGCGCAGACTCCTCCGGCTGATCTCAAGGTTCGGGGAAAGCATGACAAGAAATAACATGGCTTGTCTTTGTCAAAAAGTTGGTACCTTTATCAGCCCTAGGGATACATGAAAGGATTAGGAGAGGATTATGGGGTCCCTCAATGATTCTACAGCCATTTTGGGACACCACCGCATGTTGAAAGAGAGTCCTTCACGGGCTTCGGAGATTCAACGCCATCCTCCAGAGTCACCTGCAGGGTTCACCATTCTGCCCCGCAGTAGTAGAGGAAGCATAATCACCGTGTATTCCCAAAATAACCTTAAGGTTTCAAGGACCCTCTAGTTTGAGAACATTGCATTTCGTCCAATTTAGCCACTAAGCCCTGAAACAATGTGGGGGCTTCAAGAGTACGACCTTAGCTGAGCTGTTCTATATCGGGCAGTCTTATATCCGTACTTAAACTATTGCTCACCTCCGTCTTGCTTGCCATTGTTTTTCTTGATCTACCTGGAGGGGGCTTGTCTGCTTGAGCCAGAACGCATGTCGGCCAACCAAGAAGTAGTAGCAATATCAAACTTACTACTACTGTTACTCATATGATTAGTAGTAGTACTAGTAGCAGTAGCGATAGCAGTAGCACTATTAGTAGCAGTAGCACTAGCACTAGCACTAGTAGCAGTGGTAGTAGCAGCAGCAGCAGCAGCAAGCAGGGTGCCTGTGCGATCACATGTACCTATATATGGAAATGTAGTCCACAAAACACAAACTATTCAGCAAGCAGGTTCCTGAAATGTCTGGGAACCAGCACTTGTTCCGCCATCCAACAGTCATGGGCTACAGGGACCTCGAAGCAAAACAACTTGGTATGTATCTTATAGCGTAGAGTATATGACATTACGTATTACTTTGGGCAAGATACCCTGATGCCCTGAACCCTAAATCCTCATCCCCTGGGATTGGAGCAAGTTTTGGAGCTGCGGCTGGATCTTGCAGTTGTTGGGAGTCGGTGCCTCAGCTCAACGGTTGATAAGGTTTAAGTCTGGGGGTCTAGGGCGAGGCTGGAGCCAAACCTGCAGCACTCAGGATCCCCAAAATGTCTTAATGGGGTTTATAGGGTTTAGGGTTTGGGTGGTGCAAGTTCTGCTCCCAGAAGGGTCTGAGTCTTAGAGGCATTTCAAAACAGGAGTGGCCTCAGGAATTCGTGGGCAATCTGGGGACAGTTCGCTTGCGAAGTAGAGATATACAACGAACCGCTTGTGCAAGCTCTATCAGTAATCACGAGAGACTACTGCAACTTGGGGGGTATGCTAGGCGGGTTTCATGCAAGTCATGGAGGTTTTTGGCCCCTAAACTCACCCTTAACCGTACGGATTTGGGATGTGGGCTTCGGTTCGGGCTTTGGTTATAGGATCAGCAAGTTCCTGTTTTTGTTACTACTGCTGTCACGAAATTCACACCAACTTAACTTGCAGTAAGGTTCGGAAAGCCGAATAGTTGAGTACTTCTTTTGGGCAGCTTGTTGTATAGGTGTCGGAGTATGGTTGCTGGGCGAGCCTTGCGAGGGGAAAGTTCTCAACATGGCAACGAATCCGATGCAGCTGACGAAGCGCGTCTCTGAGATCCTTAGGGATACCCCGCCGCTGAGCGAAAATCTGGGGACTCAACACTATTTAAGTCCTAAACCCTGAATACCAAGGCATACGCTCAACACCCTAGATCCCCAATCCTAGACCCTAAACTCTAAACTCTAAATAGCAGTTTCCACTTTATTTTCATTATCTCAATATAACCCCAATATAACTCAAAACCCTAAATCCTAGACCCTAACCCTTAATTATCCTAAAGCCTCCCTAAATCCTAAATTCCTGACCTACACCCTACATCCTGCCCCAAAGCACAGAGGAGCCGGCAGCCAGAACAGCGGTCACTGCCTCGGCTTGTGCAATCCTATTATTTGGTTCAGGGTTTTGGCTTGGTTAGATAGGGGTTATCTAGAGATAATGGAAAAGAAAACGGAAACTATAGGGATTATATATGGGCCATATGGGTTATATAGGGGTTAGTTTAAGGTTTACCCCGAGTAACTAGCATGTTGGCATTGTCCCTCGGCGCATAAGGTCACTCTATGAAGGACTCAGGGTTTAGGGTTCGGAGTTCAGGGAACTTCTGAAAGGGAGCGCTATATGAGCCCTGGACTAAAGTTATAGCATAGTTCTTAAAGGTCCCCCCTACACCCCCTGTAGGTCCCCCCCAACGTAACTTGAGCCAGAAGCTCACATAATGCTTCAGGGGTAGCGCCCATAAAGGATTGAGGCGCCTCGGGCTTGATGTGCTTCCCCACAGTCCTGATTTTGTTGGTATTCCCGGGAAAGTACTCGCATTGATGGCTCGGACGCTCTGCTGAAAAAATGTTTTCATCCTCACCTCAAGCCATAGCTTTGGAGGGCTTCGGGATCAGGGCGCAGGGGCTAGGATTTGGCGTAGAAGGCCTGGCAAAAGCATTAGGGACTCGAGAACATTCCTCAAGTTCAAGGGGTGTCGCAGGGTAGGATTCATGGCTTCGCAGCTTGGTTTTCTGGTTTGAGACATGAGGATTAGGGGCTCAAGCGGTGCCAGTTCACGTTGCGGACTTCTTTGGGATTCCGTGTTAGTTGATCTGAAGATTTGCGGCAGCGTGATTGCACATTGGTTTTCGTGTGAGCGATCTCACTTAGACTTCTACCGGTATTCTCTGACGAGATCTCGCTTGTTAATTTCTGAGATATGTCAGGCCAGGAAGGGTGGGTGGTATGTAGGTAAAGCTGACTGATCGAGCTTTCGCGGGAAGGCGGTACTACGGTTTCACAGGATTCTGATAAGAGGTTCCAGTCTTAAGTAGTATCTGGGGATTATTGCTTTTTTCAGAGCTAAGAAGGATGCCAGTTCCCGGCGTGGAAAACAAAGCTTCAGACACATAATCAACACGGGAAGCAGTCTATGGGGGGGCGTAGCATATGAATGTGTGCCTATAAATACACATATGTATATATGTTATACGCGCATGTGTCAATTACATGGACATACGTAGAGAAAGCCTCTGGAACTCAACCCAAAGACCCTCAGCGTCCAAATGCCTAATGCTCGAGTAATCTTGCTAAACCCTAAGGGTCCAAGTACCCAATAATCATATACTTACCCAAAACCAATACTATAATTGGTATTACCCAAATGCCAAGTACCAAATTATTGGGTACATGGACCCTCTGGGAAAGCTCAAGCTGTGAGCCCTAAACCGAGTACCTGGACCCTTGGGGAGGCTACGGCTCACATGCTCCAAGCTGCAACCGGTGGTGCTACATGAGCGGGTCGAGCACCTAGAGCAGCTGCTTATGAGCTGTAGTCTTAATTCCTTGAAGGGGGGTTATACATAGGGGACTACTATAGGGATTATTGAGGGGGTTACTAGGAGTTTAGACAGTATAGGTCATATGGAGGGTTCTCCAAATTGGTGATGTCCTTATGGATGCCATGGGTCTATGCGGACGATCAGCGGAGGACAAGGGGTCTCTCTTGAGAATTTTGTTGTGTGGAGTTGACGGTGTAGGGTTTTCTTCTGAGAAGCTTTCAGAAGAGTAGTTTGCCAAGGCTACATATGCGGTTTCTACGCTCAGTAGGGATATTCAGCCTTTTGCAAGATATGAGGACACAGGGATTTGCAAAGATTCTACAGCTACTCTGCAAGCAGTACTAGTACCGTGCAGTCTTGCAACTAACTGACTTGATTTCATGTGGTGTGCTGTCCCAAGCACCCCAGACCCGCCAAGAAAAGGAATACCCAAAGCCAGAATCAACGCAGTACGCCTCTCCGCTAAAGAGAACCTCTTAAGGAAATTATTCCGTTGATTGTGTTTCAAGTGTCTGCAACTAACCTCAGCTTGATGGCATAAACCCAGTTTGTAACCCTACGCATCCCGATAGCCCAAGATAGGTACATAGCACTTCTAGACTTTGAGGCCCAAAGCAGGTAGTATGTTTAGACTCTAGGGATCCACATAAGCACTTCTGCATAAACTTTAGGGTCCCACATAGGTGATATCTGTAGACTATAGACTATTTTATCATAGACTTAGATGCCCCAGAAGTGAAGGCGTAGCATACAGAGATTCCATTTCCTTCTGTCGCTTGGAAAGGCTCTACAAGGCTCATACAAGCACAGTTCCGGCATGATGTACGGCCGGTGTGGGGTGGGTTTAAGGCTTAGGGTTTAAGATTGTTGGTTTTAGATATGCCTGGGAACATGGTGGATGTCACAAGGCCCGGTTCCCCCACCCTGTAACCCTAAACCCTAAACCCCTAAACCCCTGAACCCTAAACCCTATAACCCCTAATACAATCACCATGATCCTTATAGTCACCCTTGTTAGGCGGGGAGTCCACCTAATAAATGCCCCTCAAACCCAAATATACGGCAACCCTTTGCTGCACTCTAGGCACCTCATAAACTTACTGGTTGTTGGTAGGGAAGAAGGGAATATATGATATGAGGATGCATGTATGTATATATACATATATATACAAATATATATATATACATATACATATATACTCACATACATTTATGTATACACATACATCTCTATATATATATATATGTGTGTGTGTACAGATGTATTGGGGACAATGTAGAACAAAAGGCAAACTACTATTTAGGGTTCAGGGTTATTGGGAATAAGGGAATATGTAGAAAAAGCCGGGTTCTATGGGGATTGTGTTCCCATATTCCCTCTACTGTAACAGACAGTAAGTAAACATCAGTCCCCTCCAAACTCAAGCTATAATTCGCCTTGGCCTTACAAATAACATCAATCCCTAGATGTCTGGATTCTTGGGAGAAGAATCAAAGTTTGGGATTCGTACATGGTAGTCGAACCATTCTTTTCCTTGAGATGCCAAGTGTCGCTCAAACCCTTCAACCCGAAGCCTAGTCGAATATTGTTGAGAGTTCATAGTCGTTCTGAAGGTATTGCTAATGTACAGCCCAGGCATACTGA